TAGGAACGAACATGTGGTATTACTAAAAGCTGACATGTATCATTACTTCTGTGGATTTTTTATGCAACTCAGTTTATGAACTGAATAAAAAAGAAAAGAAAATTATTTTTATGTAGCTATTTCTAACACCTAATATGTCACATAATTTTTCATATAGAAAATATAAATTAAAAGTTTGGTAAAAAATATTTGATTAAATATAAATATGGGGGAAAAAATTTCCTTTTTATAATAAATTGTTTCTAAATTCTATATTTTTTCTCTTTATTTATGACAAATTTTTAGAATAAAATATAAAATACTCACTTCACCTATAAACAAATTTTATAACAATTTATTATACCTTTACTTGAAATTAGTTTTTTGATTAAATTTATTTAAATATTGACACCTAATAAATAAATTGCTTTCTTCACCAATAAATAACTTTAATATTTATTTTGACAAATAATAGTCTAATATGCGACTTAATTAAAAATATAAAAAATGTGAAATCAATATTTTGGTGTGAAATCTTTGAATACATTTAAGTATGCAAATGAAACATTCGTTTTAATGATAATATCCTTTCCCAATTCAAAACTTTTACTCTCTTCTTTTATAATAAAATTTTCAACCAATAGATAAGATGGTTTTTAACTTCTAAATCAATTTGAAACAAATTTTTTTATGATATGTTAAAATGAAGTTAGTTTTGATTTGATTCATTGAAATATTGATGTAAAATTTAAAACACACAATATATTTTAAAATTTACATCAAGAAGAGAGTATAGAATAAGAGATGACTAAACTATAATTATATTACAATATGAAAAATACTATTTGTAATTTCATAGTTCGATTATATTGATTTTATGATTTGACTTTATTATATAAAATTTATAGTTTATAGTCCTTAGACTATTTATGATTTAAATTGAAAAATATAATATTCTTAGTCATCTCTTATGAATTATGACGTGATATTTTTAATTTAATAATAGTTAACAATTGAACAAAAATGTGTTACCAAGACATACTATATTTACACTAACATTCTTTATGATTTCAATATTATTAAGCAAATTTAATTATGAAAAATAGATCATCACTTTCATTAGAATACATTTTTCAAAATTTTATATTTTTTCACAACATTTATAATAAAACTATCTATGGATAAATGAGATTTCCTTCCTTTAAAATAGATACTTTCATAACCTCTAAAAAATCATATTTTTATGACACACTTAAATGAATTTAGTTTTGATTTTATTGTATTTAAATATTGATATAAAATAAAAGTTTAAAAAAATATATTTTGATCTCTACATTAAACTACTACAAACGTTTAGCCTATTTTCAAAATGATCAAATATTTAAATCAAATAAATTAAAAAAAGAGTAATTTTGTACTCAAATAAAAAGAAAAAACACAAAAAAAGCTATAAAATATTTTTGTAAATTTCTACTCAAAATCATAGAATCACTAATGTTTTTTTCTATTAATTTCTTTAATTAATGCTAATGAATAGAATCATTGAATTTTTAGTTATGTTTTATTTTTATTTTTTGAATTATATGATTGCTAATCTAAGATTTTTTTTTTGACTTATGCAGGGAGAGAAGAATCATTTCGATATTTCTTAATCAATGCGAGAGAGCAAAATCATGATAATACATGAGAGATGAATAATATTTATTTTGTTATTCAAAATTAAAGTAGTGACGCAGGATAGAAGAATCATATTTTTTGAATCATAACTAATGCAAGGAGAATAATAATAGAATCACCAATATATTTTTAATTAAACTGTGGAAAGAAAAATAATAATTTTTTAATCAATATGAGGAATGAGAATAATATTAATGCGGGGAGATGAATCAAATTTATTCGATAATCTAAACTAATATGGGGAGAACCATTTTTTTTGCCCATCAATGATGGTTGTATAATGGCTACATCAAGATTGATGTGGATGCTTTAACGGGGTTGGTTGATAGAGTGTTGAGGTTCATTTTATTGCTTGAAATTTTCAAGAGGCTTTAATGATAGAGGATGTTCTTAGGTCTAAAATTCTTAGTTTTAGATGTTTTTGGTAGTCTTTTATAACATCACACAAAAATATTATATACCTTGATTTTGCAAAATTTTCTAACTTAAATAAGAGTCTGACATGTTAATTTACAAATATATAGAGTATAATTTTCATTAGCAAATATTATATTTCTTCTGTCCCACAAAACTTTTCTCCGTTCTTTTTTCATTCGTTCCAAAAAAAGCTTTCTCATTACTATTAAAAACTCACTTTTACCCTTAACAATTCTTAACCTGTCTATCACATCATACCTTTTCACTATTAATCTACTCATCACATCTTACTTTTACTCATCTTATCGAAGGACATTTTTGAAAGATCAACATCAAAATAAATCATTTAAAAGTCAAAACGAGAAAAGTTTTGTGAGATTGAGGAAGCATATTTTATCATTATTCTAACTTTTAATGTTGATGTTTTATTTGGTACATATGATTTTTAAAAATGTTGTAGCAAAGGAAAATTAAAAATTTGTTCCACCCGTGCATGGAAAGGGTTAAAATACTAGTATGGATATCAAGTTGAGCAGATTAAATGCGGTAACGACATGTGTCACGCCACACATGTAAATGTGTAACACGTGCCATGCCACATGTGTATCACATGCCACATGGCATGCCATGCGTGCGTATTAATCTTTATATTAAATACTCACTATTTTTATTATACTTTATAAATCCTTTCAGTTTATAAACTTTCACTTTGTAATTTTAATAATAACTTTTGTATTATATTTTCATCACTGTAATATATTTAAAAGTCGAATATTAATTTCATTAACTTAAAAATGTTAAATAACTTATTTTTTATAATTTCTTAAATAAATATTTAAAAGTGTTCACGATTTAAAAATAACCATTATCACTATTTAATTTTTATAAAATCCTTCACTTTCTAACATTAAAAAACCATTATTTTTATAAACCCTTCACTTTATAACCATTTAACAAAAAAACTTTTTCTACACTTAAAATGCTTCGTAAATAAAAAATATATAGCTTTTAAACCATCTAGAATTTATATTTTTATTACTTCTAAAAAACAATTTCATTAACTTATCACATAAATATTTTTTAGTGCTATTGACTCTATTACATAAGCATCTTTATTAACTATATAATATATATTTTAAAACTTTAGATTTATTTTATTATACACCCTCTGTCCTAAAACTAACTTCTCAATTTACGAGATTTGACCGTAATTATTTTAAATTCAATTTTTTTAATAAGTGTAAAATTTAAAAATAAAACTTTTTTATTTAAAATTGCATCAAAAGTTTAAAAAAAGTATAGGTGACATGACTATATTATTTTATCAAATGAGTAACAAAAATAAAAAATAGAATGTTAAGATTTTAAAATGCTTACGAGCCCGTGCAAAACACGGGGTTAATACTAGTTATTTAATACTCCGTATAATTTTTGTCAATGAAAACGACAATGATCTTTTGACACTCAATTCTAATGTCATATTATGACATCGTTTCTAAAGAGACATATACGATACTTTGATTGAAAAATTGAATGATGTTTTAGTATGGTTCTTTTATACTCCCTCCGTCCCATGAAACATGGGACTTTTGCTTTTTAGGAGGGATTTAAAGGGAGTGTATTTTGGTATTGAATTTCCAAAAATGTTCTTTGATGTGATGGGTAAAAGTATGATTTGATAGATAGATTATTAGTAAAAAGTTATGATGTGATAGTTAGGGTATGAAAAAGTAAGGGATAAAAGTGACTTTTTAATAAAAATGAGAAGTGTTTTTTGGGACGGAGGAAGTATTATAAAGTTTACTTTGATATAAAAACATTATAACTTATATTTTGATTACCATATTTTAGTGGTTAGATAGTTCTCCAAAAATGAAAGCAACCTTTCCAGAACTAAAAGGAGGAGGACGACCCGATATGCATGCCCAACCTACAACCGAATAACAATGACTTTTTTCTAATTCCTCTCATAATGGAATATATTCAAGCAAGTTACTTTAATTAGCTTCATTATATTGTTAAAAAGTGATACAAATAGCAAAGTCAAAATAAAACTCTTCTAACACTATAATAATAATAATAATAATAATAATAATAATAATAATAATAATAATAATAATAATAATAATAATAATAACAACAACAACAACAACAACAATAATAATGCCAAGGACCTTATGGTCTAATGACACCGTTATATCTCCCTCAAATGAGAGGTCATGTGTTCGATTATATTGCCAATGTGGCAATACTTCTTCCATCCCATAAAGACGTTCTCGCTTTGATTTTTAGAAAATTTAAGGGAGGAATAATTTTGTGTTGATTTTCTAAAAATATCCCATCCCACGGGTAAATTTAGGATATGATGGGTAGACTATTAATAAAAAGGTATGATGCGATAGGAAAGTTAAGAATTAGTGCGTAAAGGTAAAAGTAGTTTTTTAATTGAAAAGGAAATGAAATTATGAGACAAAAAAACGGAAAGGAGTTTTTGAAATAAAGTGAGTACTACAATGTAAGAGAATTAATAATGTTAATAATAATAATAATAATATAACAACAACAACAATTATAATACTCCCTCCGTTCCCCTAAGATCTTTTCGTTTTAATTTTTTGTGTTTTTTAAGAAGAGTTGAAAGAAAGTGGAAGTTTACCATAATATCCTTAATGAAAATGGGTGAGTGTATTAAATGAGGTGTAATAAATAAAGTAAGTGAATGTAGTTGAGGTATTTTAAAGGTTAAAAAAGATAATGAAAATATCTATGCTGGATAAATAAAAAATGGTAATGGAATGATCAAAAAGTATCAAAAAATATCTACAGAGGGAATAATAGTTAAAATATACTCCGTATCCACGAGGTGCGTTACAAATATCCTTTCATCTCACTAATCCAAATTCCAAACTTACACCACCAAAAAGTAAAATATCACCACAATTTTAATTAAAAATAAATACTCCATAATTAGCCACGTGCCCTAAATCCCCCCATTGACCTTTCTATATCCTTTTTTCTTCCTAAATTCAAACAAATTTTCTATTTCCGAGCCCGGTTAATTACAAATTCACCTGAACGCATAAAATTTGACATCAAATATTTCGCATAACTATTGTCTGTGGTGCATAGACTGACAACATTTTTGTGTGTGTGCATATAATTAATTAATATTTGGTACAAAAAATCTTGTCATGTGATTAATCTTAGTAAATTTCTAGCATTTGCTCTTTCAAGAAATTAAAGATGATTAATACTGTTGTTGAATTGTTGATGGAAGAGCCACAAATCTTCGACGCTCCATATGTTGCCGGACAAATCTCCGCCGTCCATCCATTGGTTCCCGTTCTGCTCTAACTCGACACCCGGGTTAAAGTAATCCGAGGGGTTGGTTAAAGATTCACCGCCGTAAAAAAACAGGGGACCGTGGTTAATGCTATTGTTGTTTGCTTGGTAGTAATCCCGATTAACGTGGAGGTCGTTGTAGCAGCCGTCGTTAATGTCGGAGGCCACCGGCGACACGAGGGAGTCGGAGGACGCGGCGGAGTTCTCCGGCGTGAAGTTCATGCCGCAGTCGTACTCCGGCGGCGTGGCGGAGACGAAGACGTCCGTGCTGGTGGCGGTGTTGGGGGGGCCGTGGACGGCGGCGGCGTTAGGGGTCGCGGAAGATGACGTGGCGGCGGCCTGGATCCTCTCCATCAGCCTCGGCATCCATAGGTAGCGCATGGTGTCCTTGAATTGCTTGCTGTTGACGTCACATTTCAGCTGCTTGGCGTGCTTTTGCACTCTGGTCCTCCAGTAGTTCTTTATTTCGTTGTCAGTCCTCCCCGGCAAATGTTGTGCAATTTTCGACCACCTATTTATTTTCAACAAGTACTTTGCATAGTTAACATTTATTGATTGCGTGGATGACTACAAAGAAAGAAAATGATGGTAAATAAAACGAGAAAACGTTAAAAATTACTCCCTCCATTCTTAAATAAGTTTTCCTTTTTGACCTTTTGAGGATTTAAGGAAAAGATATTTTTTTGTTGACTTTATAAAAATACCTTTGATGTGATGTGTAAAAGTAAGATGTGATAGGTAGATTATTAGTAAAAAGGTATGATGTGATAGGTAGAGTATGAAAAAGTAAGGAGTAAAAGGGGTTTTTTAAGGAAAAAGAGAAGTTTATTTAGGGACAAAAAAAAAACAAAAAGAGAAGTTTATTTAGAAACGGAGGAAGTAATAAACTGAGTGCTTGAATTATTGATAAAAAATGATTTAAAAAAATGATGAGAAAAAAGAAGTAAAGAAGGAAAAAATAATGAAAAAGAGTTTTTTCATCATTATTAATGAGAAAGTTATGACATGGGTTCTACTCCGTATATAAATTTGTTCTTTTCTCAATTTGTTCTTTTCTAAGTTTTTATATTTTCTATTCAAATATGAGAAATTGTATTAGAATTTGTGTTTTTTCATTTTCCCTTTTTCACCATTTTCTGACCAACCAAAATTTAGTTTTATATATATATATATATATATATATATATATATATATATATATATATATATATATATATATATAGAGAGAGAGAGAGAGAGAGAGAGAAATAAAAAAGTTCAAAACATTTTAATTATGTTTAATATACTATCTCATCCCAGTGTTATGTCTATTTTAAATTTTTTATTCAAATTAGATGAACTTTAAATTTCAATTAAATAAAAATTATAGTGTAAATTAATACTCAATTTCAGGGATCGGAGTTGTAATTAATCACAAGGTCTTCGATTGCTATTTTATTCAATTTAATTTTCCTTTCATTCCAAAAAAATCATTTGACTTTTTGGGGTCAAAATTAAAAAAAATACAATTGACCTCCAAATTTAAAATAACATTAACAATTGAATATTAATTTAAATTTAATTTATTTGATTTGTATTGAAATTGTCATATTTTAATAAACTTTGTTTTGATATAAAAAAAATACTAATAACTAAAATATCATATATATATATTAGAGACTGTAAAGAATTAAATAAAAATCTTAGTTTGAGATGAAAGAGTATATTCTTAGACAAGGTAAATTTATCCTAATTAAAAATATCTACCTATTGCCCCAACGAGAATGTAGTTCAAGAATGAGGAGCTGTTCTTCGAGAGTGATATTTCCACGGCGGACGTCCGGCCGGAGATAATTGAGCCACCGCAGCCTGCAACTTTTTCCGGTGCGTTTCAGGCCTGTTTGGGCAAATTAAAGTACATGGCCAGTTAGCTAATAATGTACACCAAACAAATTAAAATTAATTGGTAGAAAAGTCGGAATTCAAATGTAAACTTCATACGTACGTAGTTTGAAAAGCCCAAAGTGTGAAATGGGAAAAAAAGTGCCCTTTTCACTTTATCTTTTTGTTTTCTGGGTTGACATTCCGCAATTTTTTTTTTTATATTTTTGGAATTAAATTCCCACCCCATAATTAATAACTTTATTGGATAAGTTTCATCTCTTCACAAATACTTCCACGTACGGAGAGGAACCCAAATGCCAAAACCAGCTCACATGACTACCAAGTACACACGATTGGCCCATGAATTTCTCAATAATTTAAAATCACCTATATATATATATATATATATATATATATATATATATATATATATATAATATACATATAAAATATAAAAATATGGAAGTGATTCATATTCATTTTTTATTTATGACAATAAGAATATTTTTAACACACAAATTCTACTGTGAGTCTAAGATTTAGAGATACTAGTATTTAGCACCCACAATGAGTTTGACAAGCAAAGGCAGCTCAGGGCATTGGCAGGGTGGTCACCCGGGCTTATTTTCTAATGAGTCCCAAATTTTAATTTTTTAATTTGTGTATTATATATACTAATATCAATTATATATTTTATTATTTTTATTACTATAATGTTAATTATCGCAAAAAAAATAACTGAGAGACTTTATTTCATTATAACACAAATACCCATGCATTTTTTTCAATATTGTACCGAGTCCTTGATTCCTTGGGGACAACATTTTTTCAAAAACAATTCTTTAGGAAAGGAAGTCTATATAATTTTTGTGAACCTTGGATACACCATAAAAGCACTCACCGGCACAACGGGCGAGGGAGTTCCAACGGCCTTCGCCGTGGTGAGCTATGTAGTTGATGAGGGCAAAGTCCTCCTCGACGGTCCATGGACCACGCCGGAGGTCGGTGTCGTCTTCCAGTGGTTGGGCGTTCTGGTAGGTGGCTCCGCCACCGCCATGGGGAAGCCCACCATGCTTGACGTGATCCATGGATGGATGAGCACAAACAAAAAAAAGGTGTATTTGATTAATAGATGAAGAGAGAAAGAAAGTCAGAGAGAGAGAGAGAGAGACGACTTGGAAACGCACAAGAGGATAGAGAAGGTGGTGGGGCTTTATATAGACTATAGAGAGATGGAGAGAGAGAGGAAGAGATGGAATAACTTTTCATTTTGATTAATTTGTTTTTTTGAGTAAATTCCATAAAAGGTCCCTAGTTATAGATCATTTTACATATTTAGTCCCTACATATCAAATATTACTAATTTAGTCTCCAATATTATATCATTTTTTCACGAATAATCCATTGTTAAAAAAACATGAATAAAATTTTATATTCATACTTTTCTCTCATCAATTAAACTTCCTCCCTCCTCTCGTACTCTTTCCCAAACTCGTCACTCAGTTTGAAACTCTAAACCCAAAACTGAAATGATCATTTCACTTTCAATAATTAGTCTTCCTGGTGGAACCCAAAATCAAAACCAATAAGCCTTATGGATGAGTTCTATCGGTTAGTCGCAAGAAATTGCAAAAAAAAACATTAAAACTCATTGATGAAGGTTACTGGTTTCGAATTTGGGTTTTACCAGTTAGACAAACAATTGAGAAAAGAGTGATGATTTCAGATTTGGGTTCAAAGCTTCAAACTCAGCGACGAGTTTGGGAAAGGTGTGCGAGGGGAGGGAGGAAGCTTAATTAAGGAGAGAAATGAGTGTGAATTTTCAATTTTATCCACGTTCTTAATGGAAATGTTAACGAAGGACCATTCGTAGAAATGAATATAATAATTGGGGACTAAATTAGTAATATTTGATATGTAAGGACTAAATATGTAAAACGACGTATAACTAGGGACCTTTTATGGAATTTACTCTTGTTTTTTGTAAGGGTAATTCTAGACTCACGAACAATTTTTATGCAAATTACACAAACTATTTGTCATTTGTGTATTTAAATTTTTATTCTTAAGTTATTTAAAATTATTTTATTCACTTGGGAAAGTGCACAATAGCAAGTTTGTGTTAAAAATATAATATTGTACTACAACGCCATGTTTGTCGACACTGTTAACAGTTAGAGAGACTGTCTCCGATTGCGAGGGGAGCTTTGTTGCATGGCCAAAGTCGTTGGTGGGCCTTGGAAATGTAAGAAGTAAATAAATTTAGTTCTTTTTTATTCAACATCATTTGGGCTGTGTTTCATATATCTTTTTTTTTTGAAAATATTCGTAGCCCCCCGGTGCACACGGCTCGACATGGCGACTTCTCATCAAGCAAATCTCGTCCTATTCTTGGTGTACGCCCCACTGCTCCTAGCTCTCCCGTACAGGATGTTGTTGACCGAAACTCATACGTCTCATTCGGGCCGAGGTGTAGAGAGTTGTGTCACACGCTCATGTGTATTTCCTAAACTCAATCAAGGCGACCGGAGGGCATAAGAAAATGAAGGTGAAGACTTTCGTCAACGAGTAAGTATTAACAAATTTATTTAATTATTTCTTATTAATGAAATTCTTTATTTGTTAAGATATTAATTTCTTATTAATTTGTTTTTTACATATATTAAAGGTCTTGGCGGTACTTTCGAGAACGGCACATGCCTCAGCTTAAAGCTCAACCGGATTGGGTTGATGTTCCCGGAGTACCCCAACAAGTATGGAACGTTGAGTGTGGTTATTATACCATGCGATTTTTATGGCTCATCGTCACTATATGTGCACAAGGTTCTTTACCGTTATCCGATGTAAGTTTATTTTAGTGTTTTTTTTGAAAGTAATAAAGTGTTTATCATCATTTTCTTTTTCATAGATTATTAAACTTTATGTTGTATGTTGTTTTCGTATTGTAGGTATTTCAGTCTACTTCGCCTTATACTAGAGCCGAATTAGACATGTATGTAGGTAGTATTTATATATATTTAGAGACTAATTAAAAAACTTACGAAATAATAAGAGGTGAGATAATTTTGATAATTTATCAAATAGTAGATAAAAAAGGGAACAAAATATGAATGTGGTTTGAAGTTCCATGCTCTTATAGATTGTACTGCATTGATATCATATCATGAAAAGTCCTACAAAACAAAAACATATAATGGTACACATTGAATTGCTTCGTATAATTTAAGTTCAATTAGAAATGGTCAATCCTAAAACTCTCTGCAATGTTGAGAGCCAGTATTTTCATACGTAGTCTTACTTTAGTAGGCCAAATAACGTCAGTACCCCCATAGTTTGCAAAATAAGCAGCAATACATCTCCTGTTTTCAAAACTTATTTCTAAAGTTCTTGTGGTCTCAAAACGTTGCACCCGTGCCCCCTCTGATCATTTTCTGGTCATTTTTCCGGCGAATAAGGGGGGCATTCGTGCATATTTTCTAAATCATGGGGGGTACGAGTGCTGATTTTTTATTTCTCTCTTTTTTCCCATTTTTTCCTTTATTTGTTTCATTTATTAATAAAGGTTATTTTACAATTACTTTTATAATGTTCTTAAAATTTAAAGTTATTTTTGTTTGAAAAAATTAACATATAATGTATCGGCACGTCTCAAATTAACAATTTTTGTTTTTTCCAAAAAAAGATAATTTTTTTAGAACTTCTAAAAAATGATGAATAAAATAAGAACAAAATAATACAAAAAAAATGATTATCCTTTTTGGACATCTCAATTTTAAGGATATTTTTAGGCATGTTCCAAAAATGTTTTTTGTAGAAGACTTTTTTTTCGTATTTTAATTTTTTTAATTTCGTTTTTCCATATTTTTATTTTGGGTTTTCTTTTTGAACTTTCCAAAAAATTATTCTTTGTAAGAAAAAGTGAAAACGTTTAATTTGAGACAGATGTAATGTATGTTAATTTTTTTATTAGTTCAAACACAAAGAATTTTAAAAATTTTTAAAATATTATAAAAAATTGAAAAGAAATTTAAAAAAAATATAGGAAAAGGAAAAAGAAGGAAAAACACAAATAATAAATGAAAAATAAAAAATGAGCACGAGTGCCCCTTATGGTTTAGAAATTATGCGCCAATGCCTTCTCTTCACCGGAAAATGATCAGAGGGGGTGTGAGTGCAACGTTTTGAAACTACAAGGACTTTAGAAATAAGTTTTAAAAACAGAGAAGGTATTGGTGCAAATTTTCCAAACTAAAGGGAGCAACGGAGCTATTAGGCCTACTTTAGTATGACACATGAACTTTTAATTAATCTTTTCTCACAAACATTTGTTTAGCCCCAAGTCCCCAACACTACTATATCCGTCCTCACTTGTATCCTCATTAATTTTACATGGCCATTATTTTTTATTTTTTATAAACAATTTTTTTATTAAAACAATTAAATAAATAATACTCCGTAGTATTTTAACTAAATCATTAATTAATTAAAAAAACTAACTTTCATTATATATATATATATATGATACTCTATAAAAGATTGTAAAACTTCCCTAAAAGATTGTAATACTTAAGAAATAAATACTCCAATAATTCATTACACGAACCGTACCAGAATTCAGAGTCAAGTGGTCAAAATTTAAAAGTCACGCCGAGAGGCCCACATCCAATCCATCTCAAAATGCCAATCGAGTCCAAGTCACGACTAATAATATTTTCTTCATAAAAACTATTTACCGGAGTATTTTTTTTGGAACCTTGCAAAAACATTTCTCATTCTCTTTTTTAAAAAATGAATTCTCTAGAATGTTGTGGAATTTTCTAGAGAAGTGTAGGTCTCTAGAAATTTGTAAAATAGTGTAAAAGTTTTTCAAATATTCTAGAGCTTTCTAGAGAAGTGTAGGAGTCTCTAGAAATGTGTTGAAAAAAATCTAGAGTCCTCTAGAATATTCTAGAGCTGTGTGTGATTCTCTAGATTTTTCTAAAACTTCATAGAAGCTTGTGGAGACTTTCTAGAAGATTCTAGATATGTAGAAATGTGTGGAGTATTCTAGAAAAGCCAAGTCTTAGGGGGTGTTTGTTTTTCTGCCAGAAGACCTTCTAGCGTCTTTTGTCTGCGCCGCGCAGACGCGCGCAGATGATGGGCTCTGCAGATTGTTTGTTTTTTGGAAGACATTTCACTAAAAAAGGTCTTCCTGGCATCTTCTTGGAGAAGACATTAACCAATGTCTTCTAACATCTTCTAACATCTTCTCCTTTTTTTCTACTTCTCTTCACCACCACAACCGTCCACCGCCACCGTCCACCACTACCACCGTCTACCATCACCGTCACCGTCCATCACCATCGTCG